GGGGGGGGGGAAGACAGGCACAGCCAGGGAACAAGTTGCTTGACCTCCCCACACTACCTGCACCCCCATTGCCTGCCTACCTGCAGGGGTAGGAGATGAATTACAACCATCCAAAAATAGATTGTATACATGGAAAATAATTAAAATTATGTACTGCATCCTTCATTTCCATGTATAGAATCTAATTATTGGGGGATAGTCTTAAATTCAGGGTCATCCTAGATTTGGGCAAATAAGGTATTTTAAAACTATGTCCAACATCTATGCATTTATATAAGAGGATAAAAAATTTTAAAGAACCTAAATTTCCCATTTTACAGTGAACTTGTTTTCTTTGCTATTTTGTGGCCTCTTAGAAGGATATTTCAGTATGCCACAAAAACATACCATCTTCTGTTACACTCATTACCAAAGCATCTAAGATAATCTACAGGAGACCTACCACTCTTTTCCTTCTCTACCAACAGTAGAAAGACAGTGAAGTAAAAGATTTGTTCTGTGCATCAAAAACTGACCGTATCCCATCAGCTAAACGTGACCATACGCTTAATAAAAAACTCAACATTTATCCAACTACCACACAGTTGTACTGGAATACAACAAAAACTTTCTAATCTTAAGTATAAGAAAGCACCAATAGTCTCAGATTCCATACCGCATGTCAACTTTGGCACATGGTGACTTTTACATTCAATTTTTAATTAACACATCAAGAAAATCTTCCTAAATTTTCTCACACACACACGAGGACGGAAGTAAAAGGAAGCACTGTAATTTACATCAGATTGGACTAACGGTCATTAAATAGTAAATTCACCATCGATAACTTGCATAGTGATATCGGGGTGTGACACCCTTAAGTTTTATATTCAATACTAACAATAAAAAATTATCTGATATTAAAACACAGGAAAATAGGAACATTCAGTTAATTCTAAATCACCTTTAAGTCCCATTAGCCTAGTGAAAATTATCAACGGTTACTAGATGACTGAAGGATAGGAAAATACCTACCTCATCAAAATCAGAAAAGATTAATTTCCTATCTTTCAAAATGAAAAGTAACCAAACAGGAAGGCACACAGCAGAATTGGCTCCAACATTATACTCATCTTTAAGATGAAAGAGTCTTTGCCTACAAGATTATGGGAACATTTGTAATCTGGAGCCCCAGAGGAATAGGAGTCTCTAAAGCAGCAGTAAGTGATGGTTTTATTAATGGTGAGCAGCAACAGACAGATCTTATTCCAACTGTTAGTGATCTAAGTGGCACTTAGGCTTCTCAGCGTCTAAGCACAAGCCTCTTTCTCCCTGGTTCCCAGCCCTGCAAAACCTTTAACACATCTTTTGTAGCACACCTTATTTAGCCATAAGGCCAAGTAATAAAAAGCAGAACCTTTTTGCATTAACAGTTGTTCAGGGACTTGAGCTAGATGGTTTAGGAGCATACTTAAATACCTTAAAATGTATCGATTACTAATAGATGGAACAGGACCTGGTGCTATATGTGCTTTAATCAAGTTTCATAATTTCTTGTACATTAATATGTACACACTCTTTTTAAGAGAGATCTGCATGGATACACTTTTCCAAGATCAAACTGGTCATTATAAAATTTGGAAATCCTGGACTGATATGCAAGATTGTCTGGTCTGTATGCAAGATATGGAATACTTGAAAAAGTGCACTAATCAGAACAAAAGGAACACTGTATTTGTTTTCATTAATCCAAAAGATACTGGATAGACAGAGAGGATAACCACTAGGGCTATGCAAAGCTTCAGTCACTGATTCGATTCAGCGGTGATTTGGCCCAATTCGGCAGCCAAATCTCCGAATCCAAACCTCTGAATCAATTTGGAGAGATTCAATGATTCGGACGTAGACACAGCTTTAAATGTTTTTTCTACATACCTCAAGGTACCAGGCAGCTCATGAGTGCTGAGATGGTGGGACAGATGGAGCATCCCCACGGAAGCACT